TCCGATAGGATACGACGTACACCTGCGAGGTATACGTTGTTAACTACAGGACAACGTGATATATTGTTGTTAGAGAATGATGAACCTACTACCTATGAGGAAGCAATGGTGGGACCAGACTCTGAGAAATGGCTTGGAGCCATGAAATCCGAAATATAATCTATGCATGTCAATCAAGTTTGGAACTTGGTTGATCCACCTGATGGTGTAAAAGCCATTGAGTGCAAATGGATCTTTAAGAAAAAGACAGATGTAGATGGAAATGTTCACATCTACAAGGCACGATTGGTGGTGAAAGGTTTCAGACAAATTCAAGGTGTTGATTATGATGAAACTTTCTCACCAGTTGCCATGCTAAAATCTATTCGGATTGTTTAACGATTGCTGCCTATTTCAATTATGAGATATGGCAAATGGATGTCAAAACAGCTATCCTCAATGGAAATCTCGATGAGGATGTGTACATGACAGAACCCAAGGGATTTGTTGATCCACAATTAGCTAAAAAGATATGCAAATTGCAGAAATCCATTTATGGGTTGAAGCAAGCATCTCGGAGTTGGAATATTCGTTTTGACGAAGTAGTCAAGGCGTTGGGCTTTGTCAAAAACGAAGAGGAGCCTTGTGTATACAAGAAGATTAGTGGGAGCGCACTGGTGTTTCTAATCCTATATGTAGATGACATATTATTGATTGGGAACGATATTCCTATGCTTGAATCCGTTAAGACATCGTTGAAAAATAGTTTTTCAATGAAGGACTTAGGGGAAGCAGCATATATTCTGGGCATAAGGATCTATAGAGATAGATCAAAGAGGCTAATTGGATTAAGCCAGAGTACATACATTGACAAGGTGTTGAAGAGGTTCAATATGCAAGATTCCAAGAAAGGTTTCTTACCGATGTCACATGGCATTAATCTTGGCAAGAACCACGATGTCACATGGCATTAATCTTGGCAAGAACCAGTGTCCTCAAACGATTGATGAGCGAAACAAGATGAGTGTGATTCCATATGCCTCGGCAATCGGATCCATCATGTATGCTATGCTATGTACACGTCCAGATGTTTCATATGCACTTAGTGCAACAAGCCGATACCAATCAGATCCAGGTGAGAGTCACTGGATAGCTGTAAAGAATATCCTGAAGTACTTGAGAAGAACTAAGGATATGTTCCTAGTCTATGGAGGACAGGAAGAGCTCGTTGTAAATGGTTACATTGAAGCAAGCTTCCAAACTGACAAAGATGATTTTAGATCGCAATCTGGATTTCTGTTCTGCCTGAATGGAGGCGCTGTGAGTTGGAAGAGTTCCAAGCAAGATACAGTGGCTGATTCTACAACAGAAGCCGAATATATTGCCGCTTTTAAAGCAGCAAAGGAGGCTGTTTGGATAAAAAAATTCGTTTCTCAACTAGGTGTGATGACTAGTGCTTCTAGCCCTATGGACCTCTATTGCGATAATAGTGGTGCCATTGCACAAGCCCAGGAGCCTAGATCGCATCAAAAGTCCAAACACATTTTACGGCGGTATCACCACATTCGCGAGATAGTGGGTAGAGGAGATGTGAAGATATGCAAAATACATATGGATTTGAATGTTGCAGATCCGTTGACAAAGCCACTCCCTCAGCCTAAGCATGAGGCACACACTAGGGCAATGGGTATAAGATACATTTATGATTAACTCTAGTGCAATTGGTAGACTGTTAGTGATATGCCCAAGAGGCAATCATAGAGATGATTGTATCACATACTATGTTTACATATTTATCCGACATTGTTCCTTGAAATAGATAACTCCTTATAGGTTAATGAATATGTGATTCTTTCATGAGACTCTTTATGTTGTTTGTTACTATTTCTAAAGGATCCCTGATCAAATATCATATGTGGAACAAATATGTTTATATGATCAGCACATGTATTAATTGATGATCATGTCTCATGGATCATGGTATAGAGATACCAAATTAATAATGTGGACACATGTTGGTGAACATGTCGTTGGATAGACCCAACATGAGACACTGCAAGAGCCATATGTGTTGTGTCATCAGTTATCTCATTTAGTGTTGGTGTTGAATCCTTAGACCTGAGATTATCATGGTTCTCAACATATGTAGTAGCTTACTTAGGGACTGCTAAACGCTACTCCGTAAATGTGTAGCTATAAAAATAGTTTTCGGGTATGCTATGAAACATGTAGTGCGATATGAATAATCAAGATGGGATTTGCCCCTCCTATGGAGAGATATCTCTTGGCCCCTCAATGTTGTAGATTATGGAAGTGCATGGCCATGCCAAAGGTGATTGAGGAGTCAATCACAAGTTATATAATCTATCAACAGGTTCGAGTGAATGATTGAGCTATTAGAGGATGGCACATATCTAGCCTTGAGCTTAATCGATATTGTGAGGCAATTTGGTTCATACAAGTATACACTAGACGTTCAGCCGATATGATCTTTATGTATGCCCGGTGGGTCAATACGTTCTGCTAGGGGCCGCTGTTGACGCGTGGACCGAAAAGGAGTTTTCGGGTTACAGCCAAGTATATATGAACCTACAGGGTCGCACGCTTAATGGGCCGGAATAAGGGGATTGGATGGAGATCCAATATGAGCTTACTTCGGATAAGGGATCCGAATAGGAATCCTACAGGCCTTGGAGGCCCGAGTGATGGATCCTATATATTCGTGAGGGGTGTGACCGGCGGAGGCATTGCATCATGTGAGAAACCCTAGCCGTCACTTCCCTCCCCGAGCAAAACCCTAGCCGCGCGCGGGTGCTAGCACATCTACGTGTGGCGTTTCGTCCCTGTACGTGTTGATACCGGTAGAGGCGCCGCTGGTTTGCAGTGCTGATCGGCGTGGGAGTACGGCGAGGAGAACGCATGAGGAGGAGAAGGTCGAGCCGGTGCGATCGACTACTTCCTCTACATCGACGCGCGCTACTTCGCGAGAGTTCCTTCGACTTCTCAGCGCCTTCTTCCGCTGCACAGCGCATCGAGTGGTAACGATCAATGATCTAATACTTGCATGGTTCCTGATTTACGCGATAGAAAATTTTGATTTATGCTATCATAGCCTACGCGTATCCCAACATATATATCCCCTTATTCATGAATTTCCCTTCCACTATGAAGTATTTTGTGTAGCGTAGTATATGCTTTAGAATGTTAGTTGGACTGCTCTTATTTTTATTTATCTCTGTGTTAGAATGATGGGCCGGTCTCAGTTATCTTAATATTTATCAATAAATTGGATAGGCCAAAGAGCTTGTTGTAAAATTGATCTCTAAAATTTAAAACCTTGTAAACGATACACATGGTTGAATGTACTATTTGGCACTTTGGAATTTAAATTTCTACTCTTGCATTCAAAACAATATCCTTATCAGAATTTTCATGGAAATCCTAGAGCTGATAAATTCTTAGATATATGGTAAATTTTCAAGCAAACCATAGTACTCCACACATTGATAATAACAACGTAGGCAAATTTTACTACAGTAGACCATCATTTCATGGTTTTAGCTCCTGGATATGGTAGAAGTCAATCTTTAAGAGAAAAAAAACTTTTGAAATATGGTTATTTGCTGCTGGACAACATGCTCATTACAATATTTATTTTCAGTTTAATAGAAAAGAGAAACAGTATGCAAACACAACATTCCCTTGGCCCCAATTGTCATATTCTCCGATTGGTATCGACGGAAGCAAATCTACGCGTGGATACATCGGAGTTGGCGATGGAGTCGGTGACCAGCTAGACAGACAGGAACAACTTCAATCGGTGTAGCGCCTTCCACCATGTGCTCGCTAACCATCTTCTCCCTCTCGATCACCATAATGGCTTTGGCCTCACCCACGCACGCCGACCATGGACAACCTCGCCTCATGCATGATGACGCTTTGTTGTCCCTCTGTTCCTTCCACTGTGGTCTCCCAGGGCAGGAGTATTGAGTAGGCAGGAAGATAAACGGTATGACAAGTAGGGTCAAGACTATTTTTTTGACTTTTTATACTATTTATCTCTTCTATTTAGCCAGAAATAAAAAGTTTTATTTATACAGTGTACAACAGTAAACAACCATATTTTTTAAGTTTTTTCTTCTTAAAATTTAACTATAGATATATTCACAAACTAAAACCGCGAGGTAACAATGTCCTTGGGCAAAATTTTCCAACCATCCCTGTTAAATTTCTTAGTACGGTATAGCGAAGCCTGATGCTGATTGTAAATCAATCCTTTCTCAAATCTCAAGCCGGCAGGTTTGCCAATTGATGATTGGTCCACGTGTCATTATTCACTTGGCAGATAAATCAGCATCTAAGAGTAAAAAAAAATACTGAGACGAGCAGCTGGCGTACTGTAAGGAAATGAAAAATAACAGGGTTACCGCATGCAGTGTTCTGCTGCTGTGTTGCAGCTCCGCATGCAGACAACAGAAAAATCAGGATCAATCGAGCGGAAGGAGCCCACATGGCTCACCCTTACATTGGTTAAATTACTCATCATATAGAGAGCGCGCCATTTTCAACCTTACCAAATTTTGATAAGGTTGCTAAAAAAAGTAACTACATTTAGTTTGCTGTCAAATTTTAGTAACTATATAAGAAATCCTGCCAAAATTTTGGCAAGTGGCATAGTTGGTAAGCTTTTTTTTTGCAACAAAGGACTTGTTCACTTTGATGCCATTTTTAACCTTACCAAATTTTGTTAAGTTGCTAAAAGTGGCTATATTTAGTTTGCTACCAAATTTTGGTAACTATATAAGAAATCCTGCTAAAATTTTGGCAAGTTACTAAAATTTTGGCAACTATACCAAAATGGTAAGGTTTTTTTTGGCATCAAAGTAAACGGTCCAGAGTTTTGGTTTCAATGAGCGTAATAATTGTACCCTGCATTTGCAATAAAATTGTTGAAACAATAATGCATCTCATATATATTTACACACTTATCTATACTAATATAAAAAACACTAGTTCATCAAACACCTCTCTTTCTACCGTTAGATCTATTTATCCAAAGGCTTATATGGAAAGTTAAATCAACCTTTAATTAGCGATCCCACGTCGTGATAAGCAGCAGTTGTAGCGATCGGTCAAAACGAAAAAATAATTTGTGTTGCCGGCCCTAGCCCGTCGGCGCCGACGCCTCCTCCTCGACGTCCCCTCCATTGCTGGCGGCGGAGATGCAGAAGGTGGTGAGCCTGACGAGAGGGGGAGGGGGGGAGTGTCGTCGTCGCGGGCGGCGTCGATGTGGTGGAGCACGGACAACGGGGTGCTCTTGCGGTCGAGGGCGTCGTCGAGGGGGGAGGAGGACGACGACGACGAGGAGGCGCTGCGGTGGACGGCGCTCGAGAAGTTGCCCACGTACGACCGGGTGCGCCGCGCCGTCCTGCCGGTGGTGGACGAGGGCGGCGGCGGCGGAGGGGGATGGGAGGCGGGGAAGAAGGTGGTGGACGTGCTCAGCCTCGACCCGTAGGAGCGGCGGGCGCTGCTCGAGCGGCTCGTGCGCGTCGCCGAGGACGACAACGAGCGCTTCCTTCTCAAGCTCAAGGAGCGCATCGACCGGTGCGTACAGTACTTGCACATTTCGTCACGATGTCGCCGTGGCGGTGGTCGAGGTTGCGGGTTGCCTGCAGGGTGTTTGATGAATTGCGCGTGGTAATTTGATGTGCAGGGTGGGGATTGATATTCCGACGATCGAGGTGCGGTTCGAGCACCTGGAGGCGGAGGTCGCGTCGGCAACAGCGGCCTCCCCACCGTCCTCAACTCCATAACCAACAACCTCGAGGAGCCGAGAATGCGCTGGGGATTCTACCCAACAAGAAGCAGACCATGCCCATCCTCCACGTCGTCAGTGGCAGCGTCAAGCACCGCAGGTGAAAGAAAGAAACATAAGCATCACATTTTCATAATCGCTTCTGCTTTACATAACGTTACGTTTGTGCTGCTCTCATGGTTTATTTGGGAAATTTTGAAAGATTGTAAGGTATTTGCTTGAACATATTTTTGTATGGGATGCCGGTTCCACCGGAAACGAAATGCTTTTTCCATTAGACATGTCCCTGCAAACTGTAAAGTTTATTTGTCTTTTGTTGGAGCCTAGATTAACCAAGAACATTTGGAATTCAATTTCTATGCTTCTCCTATAAAACACGCACCTTTGATTATGCAGGATGACTCTACTGTTAGGACCGCCCAGGTCTGGCAAGACCACCTTGCTACTTGCTTTGGCTGGAAGGCTCGGCAAAGACATCAAGGTTTCAAACAAATTTTCTTTACATATTTTGCAATAACTGCGATATAACGATGCGTTTGGGCGTTTGGCAAACCAGTCCGTATTCCCACAGATGTGTGCACTTCATCTTGAATATAGTATATGGTTAGCCAAAATACAGAGAACATACTTTTGTATGTATATTTGTGTATTGCTTGAAAATATTCCTAGGAGCAATAGCGATTGTTGCGTGCTTTGCCAATCAGTTAGGTACATGGACCTATGTTGAATGGGAGACGTAGATAATCTTGGCATCAAAACATAATCTTGAACTTACCTTTTCAGTTACCCATTATAGAATATTAAAATTGCTAATATATACTGTTAATAAGTGAACATCAAATATTCCAATATATTACTATTAAATCATTCGGGAGCACAGTGCTTAGGTTGCTTCCGAATTTTCTATATTAGTACACAGGTCCTCATTCTGAAGCATTTTTCAGGCAAAAACCAACTGTACAGGTTTCACAATTGAAGAGAGAATCTCATTTGAAACAAACCTTTTTTGTCAAAGGCTTTGTGGATACTTGCATAAAACAGCACCCAAATGATGCTGCTTTTCTTGAAGAAACAACAATTGTTGAGCATTATGTGAGATTGTTTTGTTCTGTTCTGAACTGTAAACCGCATCTAATTGTGTGTCCCTGGCGCACTTTTGTTTTGTTCATGTATGTATTTGTATGTGGTGTGGATGCCTATGCGCTGAATAGGATCCCCCGTGTTGGTGCAGATGTTTGAACTTTGTGGTGGTTCTTACAGACCTGAGTAGCTTGGATCCACTTGTGATGTAGTCTATGGCTTTTCATAACATTGTTTGCACTGACACTATGACACTATGCAACTACTTACTGCAGTTGCTTTGTATATATATCTCGACGAAGTATGAAACGCAATATATACCGACATGGATGTATATCATATTAACATTTACATTGTTAAGGTTTTTTACCACGGAAATACATTCATTGATTATTTAACATGATTTCATCCTATGTGATTTTTTCTCGTTGCAACGCATGGGCACCTAACTAGTTCCTGTAAAAATACATGAGCATCTCCAAGAACTGAACAATATATTTTAAAATTGATTAAATAATCACACTCACCAGCAACACATATTTCACCTACCACTAGAAAAAAAATAAATAAATCGCAAATACAAGCACACGTACCAAATTTATGATTTAAATCTAGGTGGTTAAGTTTTACCACAAGAAACACCATCTAACACATATGTAGCCTATCGCTGGAAAATACTAAACTATAAATACAAACGCACTAAATAAGTCTTGACTTAAAACTGGTTGCTTGGGTTCCACAACGAGGAACATAAACAACTAAGTATTGTTATGAATGATGAACATTGGAACTCCTCACAAAACAAAAATGTGAACACTTTATTTTTTCTAAAAAAAATATCAAGACCTAATTTTCATTAGTAGATAATTTAATTATAATTTTAGACAAATCAAGGAACCATGGAATAGCATGGGCGAAAAAATAGATAATTTAAGAATTTTCTGAACAATAAGCTCTAGTATATTAAATAGTAACTCGAAATCTCATTCAACAATTTATTTCAATGTATGTTTTTTCATAAGTTTCCAGAAAATGAAATTGATTCCTATGGATTTTTGTGATTGCACTACTCAATAATAGGTACGGGCCATAAAGCGAGCGCGCCAATTGACCCGCTGAATTTCTAGTATTTCCTAAGCCTATCAGCAGGCTATCAGCCTGCAAATAACTTTTGCATCCTGACGGAGGCCGCTATCTCTTGCACACAAAGATGCCAAGTCATGTAATGTACCACGTAGCGCTTAGCATTTTTTAAAAAGGAAAACAAAAGGTAGCCTAAGCCTAATGCTTAAGTGTGCTCAGTAGACGTAACCCTTTTATGATAAAATAAAAAAATAAATAACAGACTTAAAAGTTTTGCATTTTGATTTGAATTTTTTAATTTAAGTTGAAAGTTTTGAGTTTTGAGATGAACGTTTTGAAACTTTCAACTCAATTTTGACAACTTTTAACATAAACTTCAAAACTTTCAACACAATTAGAATCTTTTAATTCACTTTTGAGAATTTTCAACTCAAATTTCAAAACATTCAAGCCAATTTATGAATCTTTCAATTCAATTTTGAAAACTCAAATTTCCAAAACATTCAAATAAAATTTTAAAATTTCAGCCCTATTTTTGAAGCTTCCAGTTCAATTTTGAAAACTTTCTGGTTAAATTTTAAATTTTTAACTCAACTGTGAACTTTCAACTTAATTTTCAAATTTTAAGTTGAAAATTTAAAAAAATTGAATTGAAAGTTTTAAATTTGGAGTTGAAAGTTCTAAAATTTGGGTTGAAAATTTAAAATTTTGGATGATTTTTTTTTAATTTTGAGTTGGGAAGTTTTAAATTTTTTTACGATGGTGAAGGCGTACAACGCGTCATACGCGTGCCACGATTGTATGTGTGATATGGTGATGCTCACGTCTGCTCCCATGTGGGCCGACAGTGTGCCCCTTACGTGGCAATGGGTCGGCGTGGGACTACGTATCGGCGTATCCATGTGGCAAGGAATTCTGGAGCCTAGCACTGTTTGGTCCATCACCCACCTAAAGTGACATAGCCTACCTCCAAGCACAGTGCAATAACAATACCTAAGACTAGAGATAGGCCCACATTGCTTGTCTTTTTACAATTCCCTCCATCCTAGAAAGCATGCACTTTCATTGTTCAAAATATATCCCACAAAAGTTATCATTTTAAATCTTGTTAACAACCCTTCGCTCCTATTCAAACAACAACCATATATGTTTCAACACTCCAGTATTTTGGTGGAACAAAGAAGGAAAAGGGGATACAAGTTGCTAGCAAACAGGTGGGACGAGAAGGAGGAAGAGAAGGAGAATGAGAAGGGTTGCCACCGGCATCCAAGTCATCGCCGCCACCGCCGCGAGCCTCAGCTCGCCAATTGATCAAACCTCCCTTTTTCGATGCTACTCCTGCTGCTTATATAGTGCTCTCCCTTTGCTTGCTTGGGCATGGCTTTGAGAGTGGTGACAGCCCATTGGCAGCACAATTGGGTTCCTAACAATCTCCTCTTCTTAAAATTCGACTTGTTTGCAAGACGATGGCAAGTAAAATTCTGAAAGTGCCAACCGCCTAGGTCCCATGGCACTTGTAGCTCTTGGCAGATCAAAATGCTCAAGTCATCCTTATCATTATTGCTCTTCCTTATAAAGAAAATTTTCCTCTGCAACTTAGTATCTTTGCTTCCTCCATAGTGCTCATATTTCCACAAGCTTAACTAATTTGCCTCTAACTTTCAGCTTTCCAGACATAATTGCCTAATTGGTGTAGCAACAGGACATAGCAAACAATTGGTAACATTTGATTTGTAATTTTGTAGAATTGCTTGTCAATTTCCAAGAATGATTTGATGGTTGGAATGAAAACATTCTTCCATGCTGAAATTATATTCTTGATTGCACTTGGCTTGATCCCTTGCATTCTCCACTTCTTTTAGTATAATTTGAATTCCATCCTTGCAGCCCCAAGTATCTTGAAAAATGTTGATATCCAAGCTGTTCCCAACACTAACAGGCCTTTGCTCAATAGTCTCAAAGTATTGTGCCATCATATAGGAGATGAATGGATGTTTAGCTGACTGCAACAAGTCATTTTTCTTATCATCACTTGGATCTTGAGTTATTAACACCAACAAGACAATCTCTAATTCATGCATCACCACATATGATTTGCTTGCCCGCCTTCAGCTCAAACAATTTAAATTGAAACAGAGAGCGATAACAATGACCAAGCTCCATGCAGGTTCTTTATGGTTGGCATCATAATCCATTCACTAATGTACTGCATATGACCCCAACAAATTAACATCTTCATCTTTGTCTCAGTGGAACACACCCTCCCTAATCGAAGTTGTTGCCTTATCTTGTAAATTGAGAACCCCAGCAGTACATAAAATCCAAAGTGCCTAATAGGGGGAAACGTGCACTACAAGTACCTCATTGATGTGTGTGAGGGTGTCCCGATCTTTCAATGAGAGGGATAAGTCAATTGGGGGAGCGACGTTGGCGATCCGACTACAACTATCCAGGGATGTTGCGCCTTAGCAATCGTTACACCAACTCCAGAGGCGGTCGTGAATCTCGACAGATGCACGATCAGCCCAACCACGAGGGTATTTGTTCCTGCAAGCAATCGAGAACCAGCAAGAACAAGATGAACAAGCAACTCAATTTGCGAATCAAAGATATTAGATTGAATCAACAGAAGTAACAAGTAGGGTTCAGTAACAAGCAATCCGGCGAAGTAGCGATGTTATACTTTGATCTAAACAAAACCCGAGTGTTCTTGGCGGCGGCCATAGGTATAAGAAGAGGGGACGAACGACCACAGGGTCGTGCTCCAACCCTAGGACGTGCCCCTAATAGGCCCAACTTGATACACAGCCCATTGGGCTAAAAGAGGTGACGCAGCACCACGGACAGAAAACAATCGGGAGTAAAATACAATTGCGGCCGCTCCAGAATAGATATGGACATGTGGTTGGATCCATTTGAAAGTAGATTTGATAAGCTTTCCATAAAGTACTTGCATGCCCAAATCGAAGTTCGCATGAAGTCGTGGCGGCCGTCAGAAGTTGGCGTTGTCCTACAGTCCGAATCCACCCCGCGCGAATCCTCTCCCCTTCGGATCCTCTCCATCGTTCCTGAGTAAAATAAGAGTGCACGCATCTCCGGGGTATAAAGAAGAGAAACATGAACTCAAGAAAGAACTCACCTAATAGTTGAGTTGACGTGCACGTGTGCGGATAATAGGACCATGAAGTTATACTTGTGGGGTGTGGATGTATCGATGGTGTTGATGTCCTCATCACTCATGGGCCAATATCCAATATTAGCATTTTGCATTCAACACAAAGAATCTTTTCCTGGTAGCAAGCTCATGCATTCTAGAAATTCCAAAGATGGTGCAGGTCACGTAACTAACCAAATCCTGTTGTTCCTTCCAAACAAATAGAGTAATAGCCACTCTAATTTCCCAGGACTTGCATTGCTCAAGTCGAATCGGTGGTGGCCATGGTGACATCAAACCTACACTTGTCCAAAAAGAATCGAGTACATACCATGGAATGTGCCATACCTCCCCTCTCTAACCACACAACCTAACCAGGGAGGTGGCCAAGGGTTTCTCTTGGGATGCCCCACCAGCAACTTGTTGTTACCTTTGAGGCATTTCATCAAACACTCACTGGGCATCAACTTGATAAGGTCCATTTCAGCAATCAACCATAGCGAGGAGACTTCGGATGATGCATCAGGTACTAGAACACCCTTAGAAACACCCATCATGGTCTGGCACGTAACCCTGGCGTGGTCTGCACCACCCTTTGACATCAAGGCCAACCGTCAAACAGTTGGTGAGCATCGCCTTGGTACTATCAAGGATGTTGATGTTGGTGCCGCCAATGGTGCCATCAGTAGATAACAACTCCATTGATGACACGGTAGAGGTGACACAAGTAACCACGATAGCCACAGTGTGATCGGACTTGGCATCGTAGCTGGAACATATCATCGAAGAGTTGGTGGGCGTGACCTTGGGGAGGTCCATGGTGACAAATGTAGGTAGCTTGGTGCTTGTCCTCTCTGTCTTCTAGCTCTCAGGCAGCTGTTGGAGCAAGTACCTCACCAATGTGACTTGAATTTGCCACTACCCAAGTGATGTTGTTGTTGAAGCATTCCTGTCATAGGCTCTCCAGACCTCCCATTATATTTGAGAGATGAAGTGAATGATTCAAGTCATCAAACAAACATAATGAAACATCCGACGCTTCGAGAGAAGAATATTGGAGACATTGCTGGGCCTTTAGCCTGCCAGTCAACTTCAGCCTGAGATGCCTGTCAAACCACTCGAAGGCGGCGACCAGATGTGTTACACATGCAGGAGACTTGACAAAAATGGCTAAAGATCTACAACATCTCAAATATTCTTAACTCATACTCATGTGAATCTAGTTCCCAGGATATGCACTAGATTCACACTTTCATCCTAAGCATGAAAATACATAGCAAAATACACTTAAGACGGAAATGATCTAAATCACAACTACTTCATAGTTACATAGGCCGACCGGCCAAATAAATATAAGAGAACAGCGGAAGCTTGACTATCCAATCCTCAAGCACACCGACTAGGGGTTTACCCCATCAAGTTCAAGTCTTGGAAGAAGCAGTCGATTACCCGCATCACTCAAACACTAAATCTAAAACCTGCAAGCAAAAGGTTAATTCAACAGCAAGAGTCAGTACATTATTAGAAATAATGTACTGACAAGCACCAAGACAAGCCTAACACCCTACTTGCAAGGCATATAATCAAGAAAGGCATAATATGGTTCTTTTTAGCATAAAGCAAGTTTTATTTGCATAAAACACATTCAAATCAGATTTGATTTCAAATAAATTTCAGCAAGCTAGTACTTAGCATATGGGCATCAAAGTAGGCATTTATCATGTATAATTATTCACCTAATTGCCATCCATGGCAGCAAGGAGATCATTCTCAAATCTCAACATAATTTGAAGGTAAATTCAGCATTTAGAAGAATAAACACAAGTCTATACTCAACACATATCCACATGCCGATCATAAACGCGAGCACGGCTAATCGATTAGTTTTTAGACTCTACAGAGTTTGTACAGCTTTACCCACATGATGTGAATCGCTCTAGTTCGTCCGGTACCCGTCAGTACCACCATACTCTACACATTGAGTACGGTCTAGAGGTCACAATGAGGCTTTTACATTAAGTATTGTCTAACCTTGCATGAGCACGATACGTGTTCCTCCATCCTAGACCATACTTGATATATGATCTAGAACCGTTAAGTGGCGGGCCCATGCCTTAAACTTAACGCCGTGGTGACGGATACAACGGGAACCCACCACGTGGCACAATATCGTTGTATTGGATAGACTTAGACGCCCATGCCGTGAGGCGGAACAGTACACTCGTCCCCTCACGGAAATCACACATGTATGGAATTTATCATCCTACGATCACACGCTTAGGAACAGTACACTCGTCCTAAGATTCAACACACACATGGGTAGTTCCTTTAGGTAGCCCACAGTACACTGATGGCCTCTACCTATACTAGAACGGCCTCCCGAACGCAAGGTCAGACAAGTGCTTAACTTAATAGGCCAAGGTTCCCCATAAAAACACATGTGGATGTACGGTAAATATAATGAACAGACATTGAGTGAAATCCTTAGATCGGTTTAGGCACACTCTCCCCCTATCGGTACACAACTAATTACCATATGTGCACCACTTGAGGCCCAAACCTAAAATCCATGTTTTCCATCATTTTATTTGTCAAATACTTCATTTATTCATCCCTGTCCAGAATCTTAATAAAATCATTTTTCATGTTAATATGAGCCCAAGTGATAAGTAAAACCATTCTAAGCATGGCTAAGCAGTATAGTCAACTAGTGACAATGTAACTCATATTCCAAGTAGTATTAGGATATGATTCCTAAGGTTAGGAATGAGGATATGGATATATGTGGGGTTAAGGAGATAATGAAAATAATAGGAGTTTGTCTAACAAGTTTAACAAAATTTTAATTTATTAGTATACAATTGACATGCAAGATTTGCAAACATTTTTAATAACCACCAAAACATAGGTTCAAAGTGATCAAAGAGAGGGAGGTGGGACTTGCCTTGCAACTGGAAAATGTTAGCACCTAAATCACTTCTTCATCGGTTAAGCAATCATCTATACAAAGTACACGTTATGCAATTAAATACTGAAATATGCGAAAAATCCAAAATGCTCTAAAATGCATGATTTGTGAACAGTGGACTGGTATTGGTCTAAAAAGAATTTAGGTGAAATAATTTTTATTTTATCACTTTTTATTTGGGAGTTATGAATTTTAGAAGTTTACTCGATATAGGGTAGTATTTACCTAGGTAGTGTTATAAAATATTTTTACAAAGTGATTCTTATTAACTTTGACTCCACAGAGATGTAGGGATGTGTTTTCTAAGACTAACACATTTGGTTTCACATTTTTTTGGAGTTACAATGATTTTCTTATGAATTTTACAAGTTATAACGTGTTGTAGGCATATAGTGTCTTGAGAGTTTTATGTCCTTGATTGAGTTGAGTAAAAGGAATAATTTGGTTAACTAATCCAATTTTTAGTTCATAAGCTTATGGTCTTATTATCATGGTTCATATTTTTATAGACTAGGGGAGCTCTAGTCTATGCTAGCAGTATATTATATTAACCTAGAAATTACTATATGAGCTATGTTCTTCTAAGTTTTGGTGGATGGGGATGGAACTATGGCTCCACTGGTCCTAATAAATTTTATTTGGATTTATTTGGAGCATATGTATTGTATAACCACTATTATGTGTTTAGTACCTATACTACCAAATTAAGGTTTAGAGCTATGATCTGAACAGAGGGTGCCATATTTCACTCTAATAGGTTGAAGTATATTACTTTCTAGTTTTATAGAATCTTGGTTCACTCCATTTGGACTAAATATGAATTTTCTACAAATTTTACAAATTGAAGGCTGCTTAATGTTGGTTATTCCTTACTTAAATATTTAGAGGCTTTTATTATACGATAAGTATAAAATTTTATTTTATAACTTGGAAGTATATGTTTTGGTGATTCTACAGAATTTGGGTTTACTCAAAAAGGATCTAAGATGAATTTTATACAAACCTCTAAAGTTCAGCTTATCTAAAACTAGTAATTTTAAAGGTAATAGTTTTAGAGGCATTTGATGTAAAGTGTGTATATGTTTTATTTCACTTTGTTTTTAGAGAACATGTTGGTGGATCTGTAGAAACTAAGTTTGCTCTAAAATGAGTTGAAATGAATTCTGTATGCATTTTATGAGTTTGTATAAAGCATGATTTATCTTAGATGAATTATAGAGGCTAAATTTGTACTGTGAGTGCAAGTTTTTATTTCATAACTTTAAATTTTATAATTTGGTGATCACAGAAATTTGAATCATCTCAAAATAAGCTATATTTGATTTTATATGGATTTTACAAGTTCTAGGTATCTCTCTTGTATATTCTCAGATTTTATCTCCAGGGGGTCCACTGTCAGTCTCTTACCGTCTTGCAAAGAAGTCCCTATACTTTATGTGAACTTCACTTAGGTCCATGGGTCTACATGTCATTGGTTTGTATGTTTTCATATTTAACCCTATGATTGTTCAAATTTTCAAAAAAGTCCCTGCCTTCCTCTCCAGTCGGGCAGAGACAGGGCAGGCCATGGCCGAGCTCGATCTCAAGCTTGCCAGCGGCAAACGGTGGCTCGTTTGTGGGTGCGACCTAAAGACAAAATGAAGGTCATGTTATTGCGATTCTATTCCTCTACTTTCCTCGGTTAGTGGACATCGGAGTAACGCCGGCGGCGAGTCCGAGCGGAAAACGTTTTCGGGTGGTGGTGCATGTCGTGCTATAGACTTGATCTACCCAAAGAGATGCATGCATGTATGTTTTATAGGCTGCAGGATTCTCACCGAGATGCTAGACAAGGTTGGCGAAGCTTGGTCGTCCGTAATAGCTCGCGAACAGGTCCGGCGGCGGCAAACTCCTTCGGGTTGACGGCGACAGCTCAAACTACTCCAAGATCTAGCGTGCATGTGTGTCCATGAGGTTATTGAGGTCCCAGGGATAGTGTATACGCGAATAATCGGACAATGGCTCACCGGAGAAGATGGATTCGGCAAATGGCGACGGTGACCGGTGTTGAGGAGGACGACGGCCGATCTCCTTCCTCGATGCGCCATTCTTCAGGATTTTTGAGGGGAAATGGAGAGGACGACGACGCGAAGCTGGTGGCGTGGTGGCTCGCTCCGGCTTGGTCTAAATCGACGGCAACGGCGACGATGTCGCTGCGGCGGCGCCCGGTGCACGCACTGGAACACCCGTGGGCACGGCGACGTTTCCGTCAAAGGGTAAAGTGGTAGGCATGAAGTGAGGAATACGGAACGAGAAAGAGTTGGTGATGACAATGTCTCGACGACGGGTTGCGGCGTCCTTCTTCTTGGCGGCCGGCAACGAAGAGATGGAAGAGGAGAGCTGGAGCTCTCCCTCTCGGTTTCTTCGGCTTAGAGGTGGAAAATGATGTGTGGAAATGCAGCTGGGAGGAGGTGAAGCCTCGGCTCGGTGCTGCCACGTCGACGCCGTCCAGAGTGCGCTCGGCTTCGGCTTCTCTTTCTCCCTCTCGTTCTCTCTGGTCGGTTGGGGGTGTTGCATAGGGTTGGAGCTAGTCAAGACACTGTCAACTGGGCCCAGAACGAAGTACACTAGGCTGGAGTGTGGGGGATGGGTAGAAAACTGTGTGAAAGAGATTTTTGGACGAATTTTCAGATTATTTTCTCTTCCCTAACTTGTTAATTCATAGATTAATTTGTGTTGCATATGAGTTCATGTGGATTTTATTGGAGGTAGATGAATGTACCTAGTTTCCATTTTCTTTGATTGTACTCATAGTTTAGATTACTCACAAAAATTAGGAGAAGATGGGCTCTTTAGAAACTAGTTTGAATTTCTAGAAGACCTAAACAGTGAGGATAAATCCTGGAAAAATTATATTTATTCATGATAAATTACCTAGTATTTGAATAAATTATTTCACTCATACACTTTTATACAGTCTAATGCATATTTTGGTGAGGGTAGGTTTTAGCCGATTAGAAATTATAATTAGTGTACTATTTGACTGGTTTGACTGATTTATTCGAGGTATCAAAATTTAGTTATTAAATTGCACCAAAAATATAGTGAGTTGTATGTGTTGAGTAGAGCCTACTTGAATTTTTCCCATGATTTTATCTTGCACAAGTTATTTTAGATAATTAGCAAGACTAATCTCTTAAATGTGTTTCCCTTTCCTAAATGCATGTAAATGTTTATAAAAGTTATATTCGGACTCTTCTTAACCTGAGGTGATGTTGATATGTTAGAATTACAGTTTACCTTACACATGTCATAAGCTTCTTATCTATTTATGTATAAGTTTACTTTAGTATTAAATTAAGAGAATGCTTATAGAGACGATTAAGATAGAATTTACCCTATATGAGTTAATTTATTTGTTCACTTTCATGTTCATGACTTGTCTTCAGATGAGTGGAAAAATTAGTTTTGTGAGGCTTGACATTGGCCTTGTTGATATATTTTAAGGTGTATTATGGTTCCTATGTATTTTTTTTCCATTAGTTAGCACTAGGTTCTAATGGTTTAGTTGTTTGTCTAGATTTTAGTTATTATTCATGAGACCTATTATGAAATGCAAATCGAAAATCCAAATGCACATGAAGGACTCAAGTCAAAACACGTCATATGCAAGTATACATGCTTACACTTGTGTTTGCATTTTTTTCCTAGGTTATAAATAAAAAAGTTTTAATTTGCCCTCAAATTTTATTTAGTTGCATGAGTTAGATCAACTTCCCCTAGGTTTAAAATGGAAATTTTTGGTTCACAAAATTGAAGAACTTTCCTTTCAACTAGTTTTGATTGAAATTCCTTAATCCTAGAATTCGGGTATGTTACAATTCCGTCAAACACTTGGGGGACACTGGAGGAGACGAGGTCGGGGGTGTTGAAAATGATGCAGAATTGAAGTCAGCGGTGGTCGCCTTGATGGAGGCACTCATCTCCTTGAAGAACTTGTTCCTATTAGCTTATATCTCGTCCAACTTCTCCAAAATTCAATCAATCTTCTCTTCACACGTACGCTTGGCCTCCATTTGTTCAAACTTCTTCAATATCAGATCTAGAGCTTTGTCTAGCTATTTCCCTCTTTGTTCATGATGGAATTGATGGGGACGAGTTCAGATATCCTCTAATCTTCCTTGGACATGTCAGGCTGACTAGGCATTCCATCGAATAGGTTGTGGGCGTAAGTGTCATGGGCACCACCCTTGCCCAAATCCAACAACCACTTGCATGGGGTGTTGCTGCAATACTCCCCCATCGACTCCATGCTAGAAATCCCACGAACCAACAGCTCTGATACCAAATTGTTAACAACCCTTCGCTCCGATTCAAACAGCAACCATATATGTTTCAACACTTTAGTAGTTTTGGTGAAACAAAGAAGGAGAAGGGGATATAGATTGCTAACAAACAGGTGGGACGAGGAGGAGGAAGAGAAGAAGATCGACGAGGGTTGCCACCGACCACCCAAGTCATCGCCGCCGTCGTCATGAGCCTCAGCTCGCCAATTGATCAAACCTCCCTTTTCTGGTGTTGCTCCTGCTGTTTATATAGTGCTCTCCCTTTGCTTGCTTGGGCCTGGCTTTAAGAGTGGCTGACAGCCCATAGGCAGCCCAATTGGGTTCCTAACAAATCTTCACCAAGAAATTGGGGACCTTCTAGGAGTTTTCAGTAGGACTTGTTCTAGCATTCATTAATCAATTAAATGTAAGAAATTCACTAATTAATTAATCACGATTTTTGTTTACATCAACAATTGCATAACTAACTTAAATGAACATTACATATCCGAATAAGCAACTTGTACTATATATAAAATATCCACAATTCCACGCCACGTTGACCATCTCAATCAGGACAGAGTATATACGTCAATTGTACAAGTTTACAAGACAACTAGGAGATGCAAAGCACGCAAGACAGGAGGCAGCTTCTGGAAAGGAAAACATCCACGTGGGTCGGATATCATATTGTTAATAACCCTTCGCTTCGATTCAAACAACAACCATATATGTTTCAACACTCCAGTATTTTGGTGAAACAAAAAGGAAAAAGGGGAGACAAGTCACTAGCAAATAGGTGGGACGAGAATAGGGGTGGACAAGAAAGCTCGAAACTCGTGGCTCGGATCGGCTCGTAGCAAGCTCAGCTCGGATCCATTCGAAATCGTAGTCTTAATGAGTCGAGTCGAGCTAGCCTTTTAGCTCGTGAGCTTAACGAGGTAGCTCGCGAGCTGCTCGTTTAGCTCGTTAGTATAAAATATCACCATATCTTAATGAACTTAGTGTTTCTTTACTAGTGCTTAGTCTTTTAGTTACATCAAATCTATTCATATTTAGTGAGTATTATATTAGTTAGTGTTTATTATTACGTTAATACATAATAAAATGTTAAATTTGAAATTATTAATATGATATTAATGAGATATAGCTCATTAACAAGCCTAACGAGCTTACGAGCCAGCTCGTGAACCGAGCCGAGCTAGCCTTTTAGCTCGCTAACATTAACGAGCCCGGCTCGTTAACACAACTAACTCAACTGAGCCAAGCCTTAACAAACCGAGTTGGCTCGTTAACACAATGAGCTCAAATGAGCCAAGCCACCCCTAGACGAGAAGGAGAAAGAGAAGAAGATCGACAAGGGTTGCTACCGGTCACCTAGGTCGCCGCCACCGCCTCCGTGAGCCTCAGCACGCCAATTGATCAAACATCCCTTTTCTGGTGCTGCTCCTGCTGCTTAATAGTGCTCTCCCTTTGCTTGCTTGGGCCTGGCTTTGAGAGTAGCTGACAGCCCACAGGCCGTTCAATTGGGTTCCTAACAAATCTTCACTAGGAAAGTGGGGGGCACCTAGGAGTTTACAGTAGGACATGTTCTAGCAATCATTAATCAATTACATGTAATAAATGGGACCACATATACATTTGTTGATAAATTTTCTCCTAAAAATTTAACAGATGTAATTATAGTACAATTATAGTGTAATTACACTGTAACTTGCATGTAACTACAGTGTAACTTGTATGTAAGTTTCACGTAATTTTGAATCGTTAAATCTATTACTCCCTCTATTTTATAATATAAGTCATTTTAGCATTTTCCACATTTATATTTATATTAATGAATCTAGACAGAGTTTATACGTCAATTGTACAACTTTACAAGACAACTAGGAGATGCAAAGCACGCAAGACAGGAGGCAGCTGCTGGAAAGGAAAACATCCACGTGGGTCGGTCTTATTAAGCCACGTGTACCGGGAAACCGATCCCGTGCCGCGTCGACGGGAACGTCGCGAACAGCATGGTTCCGACGAGCCCTCCGGCGAGCGGCACGTCGGTGAGCACCTGCCTCGTGTCGTAGGACATCACCGGGTAGAAGCAGGCGCCGACGTTGTGATCGAACATGGCGACGGACAGGAAGACGATCAGGGACAGCACGGCGTGGAAGAAGTCGATGAACCTGAGGCGGTAGGTCGCGGCCACGTCCGGCGGCGGCGGCGCGGTGCCGTCGATGACCCACAGGCCGGCGCGCGTGGCCACCACGTACCGCACCGTCCCTTTCCCGTCGTGGAAGCTGTCCGTGAAGCAGAGGAAGAAGCACGCCGCGGCGCAGAGCCCCACCAGCCACGCCGTCATGACGCGGTTAACGTCCTGGCACTTGCCGCCGTTGGTGAACACCGGGGACAGCACCTCGAAGACGAGCACCGCGCCCGTGGGCAGGTGCTTGGCGAGCTCCGCCGTGCTCCGGAACGCCCGCGTGATGGTCCGCTCCAGCCGCGTTGTCTCGTCGTCAGAGCCGCCATCGCCGTCGCCGCCCGCCAGCAGCAGCAGAGGCTCCGTCTCTGGCTGCACGTTGTGGCGGTTGGTTATGCCAACTGAAACGGGTACAGCCGAGCTAGAAGCTGGCGGCGCGGTGGCAGCTGCTGCCGATGAAACGCTGGCCGCCGGAGATGACGTCGCCGGCTTCTGGGACTCGAGATCAATTTGCTTGTTTGATGCCATGGCAGATCAATTCGATCTTGATTGATGGAAGAATATGTGCCTAATTAAATGGTAAGGGTGGATTTATGGAAGGCTCACTTTGTGGAGTGCACGTACGAATTGTTTAAAGCACAAGTAAGATGAAGCCGGCAAGAAAGCTTAATTGTTTAAGACTTATCACTGGCACAAGATAGGTCATCAGTAAGCCTCATAGCCTCATCTGTATCGGGATAGCGTACCGGCACGAATACCAAAAGTCACTGTTACGAAAAATCATATGTATCGAGTCCCTTGCCATCACGGATGACAGTCACGGATGATATACCATGAAGATCATCATAGGCTTATCGTCAGATAGTTGTTTGTGACAGGAAGCGATCAAAAGATTTACAGATTATATATGGAGATGAGATTTTGAATCTTCTTGATATGTGCTTATATATATTCTAACTGCAACGACTGAAACTTTTGGGTTTGTTTTTGTGCTAATAGCGGGAATGGAACGTTAATTAGATGGCCAACCGTAGTTTTTATAATTCGAATGGTTTGATCGTGTCCAACCTTGGTTAAGCATAGTCTATATAGACTTGTAGCTTGACTTTGGCAAAATAAAATATGGCCTCGTACACAGTACTTTAATTTTATCCGTATAAAATTAAATGTGGAAGTAGCTTGATGAGGCACATAATAATGTTTTACGATGTTGGCAAGCTGCAACTATATATTCTAGGATTATCGGGGTATTCACTTGTTCTCAGCTTATGTCACAAAGATTACTTTTTGAATGTATCCTGAATACAGGTCTGAATTTTGGTGATCTACCGAAATAATCCTGTGAGCGAAGTTGCGTAGTAAGGAAAATCTCACATTTTATATGGTCTGAGTTATAGAAAACCACATGTGTAAAGACATATAGCACAAAACCACATGTTTTAAATTTATGGTCTAAATGATTCACAAAACCCCACGTTTATTAAAATCTAGATTAATTTCAGCATATGTTAAACAATATTTTAAAGTAGTGAAGATTTAAATTATCAGTCCAAGTCAAGAACTTAATAATTACAAAATTCGTATAAACTCTACGAATTAGAATTTTAAATAAATTCGTGCTCAAATGCATAAGGATGGGGTTGGTGAAACTTTAGAACCATAATGCACGGGATAAAGTGTCGCACGTCTTCAACTTTTACCTAAAAACATGGGGTTTTTGAATTTTACTAAAAAAAAGTGTTAGAAACAAAGATTGTTGCAATGGATGATGAGAAACTAGGGTCCAGATCTTCTGTTATGTGGAAGTAATTCTCGATGTGGCGAAAACTTGACACATACGATTTGATTTCCGATCAACATGGTTTGAACCCCGTAATGGCGGCACCACGTCTCTTCAGGTTATTAACCGTGCAATTCCCGGTTAATCTCATCGCGAAGGTTAATCCCTGCATATGAATCGAAGAACACTAGCGGGAATAATGTAAATTGCAACTGAATATGTGAATGATAAGGATATCAAAGTTGGGGTTTTATAAACTGAACTAACTAGTAGTGAAACTGCAATGATAGAAATAATCTAAGTAAAACCTAACTCTAAACTATGATGGCTACTGGATATGTATACATACATACATACATATATACATACATACAGAAGTTAAATTGCACCGGTTCTAATGGTTGGGGGTCGAGATATTTGGTATTGTGGTTGAGGAATACAAATTAGATTTGACGACTAATTAAGGGAGTCGAAGTGAACTTATTATGTGTTCTCCACACCGGACGATCGTATAGTTAAGCCCACAAACAAAATAAAAATGCTGGAAGCACATTAGTGGTACTAACGGCCGAATACTTGGGGCAAGTCTGTTAACCAGCCCAGCACTATATCAGCAAATCAAGACATGGATTGGCACAAAATGATATCTCATTCAAAGCCCATAAAAGTCACTTCACCAAGCCGATTAACGGTTGCAAAATTTTAGCCAAAAAAGGGAAAATCATCCATGGAAAAATAATACTTGATACCTCCTTTGATCAAGAAAGCATCTACACAGCCACGTTTTGCAAGCATGATTAATTTTCGGCAAAATTTGTTACAAGATATACAAAAATGGTGTAATTAGCCAGGGGACACTGTAAGAACACGTATTTGCCGTAAGACATTGCAAAAAATGGTAATTAGCTAATAGACACTCGCACCATTATTTTATTATTTTCGGAAGAATAGGTTAGAGAAACAACCATTAAGGACAAGTTTGCACTTGGCTCAAATGAATCCAACGTGGGCCCCACATTTAAGCCCCTCTCCCTCTCTTTCCATATGGGAGGGCGGACCAGCGAGACAAGGCCCCTTCGGCCGGCTGAAGGTAGGCGGTGGTGGTGGCATAGCCGTCGGTGGTGACCACGACAAAACTCTCATAGGTGCCGGTTTTTAATTTGTCGGCACATATTAGGTTTTTTATAGTGTTTATTGATATGAAAAAAAACGAAGAGGAAGAAAACACGAAATACTATTGGTCCAATTATTAACAGTGAGATGAAAAAGATGTATTTGTATTAAAGAGGTCTACTCGACAAATTCTTTTGGATAAAACTACGTGTTTAGGGACGGCGGGAGTACCTTTTATGCCATATATATACTAGCATCAAATAAATAATGTCGCTTAATTGTTACATTGTCAATAATTAAGAAGTGTGATCCTCCTGTTGGAAGCTTGGGATAACCGGTCAAAGTGGTCCACCGAGAGCGGACACTGATGGCCCGGTCTTCGAACCATGCGTGCATCAGTACGCTGTTGCCTATCTCGTCGCGACTAGCGACGTTCTTCCCGCAGCACATACAGCACATACAGAGATGCGGACCAGGACTGTAAATATATACAATGCAAATATGCAATAGTTTTCTGGCTGGTCCCATCTCTTACTCAAAAACATATATTCATCCAACGCTGATGCAATGCCAATCCGGAATTGCTATACATATGACGCCATATTTCTTTCCCGTTTACAGTCAATTTTTTCACTGTGCAATTAGTTCAGAGATTCGTGCATGTCGAGACTCTAATGCCATCGTAACTACTACTATTGCTGATACTATCTCAAATCTCTAATCATTACGGAGTAAAAAACAAGATTCCATGCACAGATGGCATGCAAAAGGACAAGAAAAGGAGAAGCGAAGATAGGGAGCTCACCGTCAATGTCTGTTTTTAATTACACTGCAGTTACAGATATAATTACAGTATAATTGTACTATAGTTACATGTGTAATTCCTATGTAACTATAGTAGTTACACCTCTCTTATATACCACTTACATATGTAATTAGTATGTAATTTTGGGATTTACATATGTAATTTTAGTTCTTACATATGTAATTTTGGGGCTTACATTGTAAATACACTAAAATTATATATGTAATTTAGGGACTTACAATGTAAATACATGCCGACTATTTTTTGATAAAAAATATGACGCCATAAATATAGCTACTCCCTGCCAATCTGGCACGCATGTCGCAAGCAGTCTCTGCCATCATTCTAAACGAACTACTACCATCAACTCGGTATCAGAATATAAAATTTTACGAGCTTAACTCGGTTTTTGAAAATAGATATAATTAAATGAGAAAAATTTGTGATTGGATAAAAAAGAGTTAGGTAGATGGAGTGGGAAGAGAATTGGTGGACAAATTATTATATTTTGGCAAAATTGGTTACAGGACACTTAAAAAAACGTGTAATTAGCCGTGAGACACCACAAAAACATGAATCGGCTGTAGAACATTGCAAAAAGTGGTAATTAGCTATTAGACACCGGACATATTATTTTATTATTTTTAGTGGAAACGGAGAGAGAAACAATCGAAAAAAGCCAGATTGCCCTATGTAGGCCAAGGATGTCAGCCCCTCTAATTTCTTGTCCTCTTCGTCCCGACGATCCTTTACAACGACCGGCGCGGCGCGTAGAGCAGTGCGTCTGGGTCAAGCTCGCTCGCCGTGTTGAACATGGCGGCACGCGCGTCCTTGCCGAGCTTGTCTTGGTAGAAGGAGCCGTGCAGCATCTCGTTGTTGACATCGTAGTGCCGGAACTTGCCTTGTACCGGGTGAGCAGGACGTTGATGCGGCTGCTCACGGCGGCGAAGAGCTCGTCGGCGGGAAGCGCCTTCACCCACTGCTGCACTGCGTTGTCCACCTCACAGAAGATGCAGTGGCCGCGCACGCAGATGCCGTGTTCAGAGCAGAGCGGGAAGCTGTTCGACATCAGCCGCAGCCGCACCTCCACGCGTCGGCCGCCTTCACCTTCACCACCACATCGCGCTTGCGCACCTGGATGACGTACAGCATCACGCGCGACGCCGGCTTGGACTCGACGCGGAACGACCCGCCGATCTCGTACCACCGCTCGTCCAGCGCCAGGACCTGCCCGCCATTGAGCCACTGGCTGTCGACGGCGACGGCGACGTTGATGTTCTGCGGCTTGCGGTGGCGGTGGACTTGCCGGTGCTTCCCGATGACGCGGAGGAGTGCGTCGGCGTGGCGGAGCGCGCTCTGCTCGCGGTGGGTGCGTCGCCGCCGCTGCCGCCAACGTCGCAGGTGGGAGCGAACGGTACGACGGCAGCATGCGACGTGCCATTCTGCTACTGCCAGGTGAGGCTGAGGCAGCCGGCATGCGCGGCGCTGGCGGGGAGGGCGATGAGGAGGCTGGAGAGGGAGTGCTCGCGGCCAGGGGTATTTCAGTACTTTTAAAACTCTTTCTCTTTCCGTTTCTACTAAAAATAATAAAATAATGTCTCGAGTGTCCTATAGCTAATTATCACTCTTTTGCAATATCCTACAGCTAATTCACGTTTTTACAGAGTCCCACAGCTAATTACACTTTCTTTAGTGTCCGGTTGCAAATTTTGCCTTATATTTTAGAACAAATTAAAAAACTAAAACTATTATATTTTGAGAAGGAGAAGTAATTATATTAGCCGGCTAAACAAGCGCCAGCTAGTCTAGACTGGCCTTCTCACACATCGGTAAGTTTTGCTACTGGTCTCCACTACGTCCTATAAAAAAATAAATCTAGTATTAGATGTAACACATTTTAGGACTACGGATCTGGACTAAGATATGTCCAGATTCGTTTTACTATAATATGTAATATTTAGTTATATATTTGTTTTTTTGGCACGGAAGAAGTATTATGGATGCAGAACCTCGTAAGTACTGTTGATACAGTAGTGTCTAACATGTGAGTCCGAACCTACATATCAAACATCTCCTGCTAACTATCAGGA